CGGCAATATTCGCAAACATAAGAAAATACACGAAAAGCAATTTCGCGGTCTTCTCAAGCCCGATGTGTTTAACCTCAAGACTGAACTCAAGACCAAATCCGATGGCAGTTCCGAAGAGAAAGAAGATAATAGTATCGGCTTTTGAGACACTGTTTCGTGTAATGAATATTGTTTTATATATTTTATCATTTTTATCATTTTTTGCATAACATATGATGTAAACTGTGTTTTAGTATTTAAATGTAAACTTAACTTAACTATTGCAAAGTTATTACCGTATTATGTGAATCACATAATTGATAATTGTTTATACTGTAATTTACAGTCTGTAAATTAAAATACATTTTGTAATAAAATTACTTATTAATTATAACAAATAATATTGTTTTATCAAAACATTATGTTTTATGGTAAAATAACTCGACAAACAAGTGTCAAACAGTAAAATGGTTTCATTATTAACGCATGAAACTAATAATTATTATAATTTTATTTACAACTTTATTGTCAAGCAATGTAGAGATCAAACACTTTTGAATTCAATTATAACAATAACGACTATAACGAACAAACTTTAAACAAATATTATTTAGACAAATAATCAGCACTTAAATTTAGTACCAGTACATATTTAGCTCCTTATTTCACAAATGTATAAAAAGGATTCATTCGATCGTTTTGGCGATGATTTGTCTCAACTCTTGTTGTCTTATCTGCCATTTGAAGACAAATTCAAATATGAGAAAGTTTGCAGACAATGGTGTCGTTTGATATTTAATAGTCAAAGAAGTTTTGTGTCAAATCAATCATTGAGAGCATTGCTTACACAAAATGATTCAATGAATTTTAAGTCATTTGAATATATACTCAAAAAGTGCCCAAAAGTTCAATCCATTAATTATTCTTTGGGAAGAATTTGCGATGAAATGATTGATTTAATTATAACCCATTGCCAACACTTGAATGAAATGGATGTGAGATTTAACTCAGATATCAATCCCCAAAAAGTGGAACAATTGTTCTCAAAGTCTTGCAAACAATTGAAAACATTAAGAATTCGTGGATTTTATTCGGAACCCATTGAAGACTCGATCGATGAAAGTGTAATCAATTGCAAGAATATCTCGGAAATGACTTTAGATTCATTCAAAAAGAGTTTTATTGCCAATCCTTTAGCTCTGTTTGAAGCAAATCAACAACTTTTGTACAAAAAAGTGCAAAAGATTACTATTAATTACTCGACTCAACACTCGCAGAGATTCGCTTCATTTGTTGACAACTTTAAAGATAATTTGAAATCAATTCACGTAAATATTGGTCACAAATGCACTGATAATGCATTAATTGCTCTCATGAATGGATTGTCGCAAATGAAAACTTTAATTGATTTGGAAATATATGCTAAAAATATAGAGCGATGGTCAAAGTCCAAGATATTTGTGTCCAAATTAAGACAAATTGGCATTAATTGCTATAAACTCAAGAGATTATCGATATTTGTAGACCTGGAATATATATCATTTAAAAGAAAATTATTCCTAGTATTGAATGAAAGCTATAATCGTTTAAAACGTCTAGAAATCAGCGGAAGTTTTGCTCCGAAAATGTTTTCAAAATGTAGGTTTGAAAACAAATGGACACATTTAACACACCTAACCTTCCGGTGGTATAATTATCGCATAAAACATGCATTCATTGAATATATCGTTACAAATGTACCGAAACTGAAGTATTTGGAGTTAAATAAAGCGGTCGTCACTAAAGAATCGTTGAATTTATTGTCAAATCTGAAGAAAATACAAACTATTAAACTGTTTGGAAGAGAAGATATCACAGAAACCAATGCCAGGGATGAGATGAAGAACTTCACAAATTTGACTACTTTTCAAATAAATCAAACAAAATACTTGTAATGTTTAGGAAAACTTGTTTATAAATATTATAAATAATATAAAACATATAAAAATTATTAATAGTAAAATAAAAATTTTGTTAATTTTAATAAAAAATTAATGATAAAGTTATTTGAAAAATATAATAAACTTCTTACATGTGAAATAACAGTGAGTTCTATTGATTTAAAAAAACTTTTGACAACTTTTGAATTGCAAATTAAATGTTTATGAATAATAAATAATTAATGATAAAGTTATTTGAAAAATATAATAAACTTCTTACATGTGAAATAACAGTGAGTTCTATTGATTTAAAAAAACTTTTGACAACTTTTGAATTGCAAATTAAATGTTTATGAATAATAAATTATGAGATTTATTGTTTCATCAACAGTTAATAGCATTGCAACAATATTAAATTGAGACATATACTTCACAGATAACGAGTTTAATTTGTTTAATTTGTTTGGTTAGTTTATTATCCTTGACATTGATTTAGTGCGCAAAACCCACTTTCAATATACCCTTCGTATCAGAAATCTTATAAATACAGTAAACGATAGTTTGAAAGCACATAATCACCAGAAATGTCAGATTCAGACTCAAACTCGGACTACAAAATAATCGTTGCATCAGACGATGAAAAGCTTTATTGGAAAAAGCGATTCTGAAAAGCGATAAAAGTATGTGTTGGCACCGGGAGATGTGAACAGACCTACCGATGGGCTGAAGAGCTACGCGTGTGTCAAAGAGGAAGGCAATGGCGGTGTGGAGGCGTTGGAGGAGTTGTGAATCAAAGTGAAAACGGCCACAAAGATGGGTCTTATGGGCTATTATGCGGCCATTTCTGACGACCGGCGCGTGATTGCCGTTCACTACGCGGACGCCTACTATAAAAAGCACATCAAATATATGCTGCAGTTCTTGTCCACCCGCACCGGACGGACGAACCATTTAAGCCCAATGAATATGCCGTCAAAATAGTGGACTCACCAGTGATGGCACTCGAGTAAAGTAACATGGTTGTTTTGGGATTAGTTTTTAATTTTATATACAATTACTTTATAATTTAAAACCATTTATATTTATAAAACTATCTACTTTTATATCGATATAACGTTTTAAATTTGTGTTAATTTAACCTTGGTTTTATATTTTTCTTATACTGTAGTAAAATTAGCACAAATAAAAAATTTGGCATTGTTAACTTTGGTTCATTGTACTGTGTTTTATTTAATACATTACTGTATCACAATAAATTGATTAAAACAAAGATATTATAAATCATTTTAATATTAGGCATGAATTTCTTAATTACAATATAATCCAGGCACAATAAATGCATTAATTGTTAAACTTTTGATCGCAGAATTGAAATAAGTTTTTAAAAACTTTGAAATGCGAGTCAAACTGATTGGACGTATATTTTGTAAGCCTATGTATGGAACCAAAACCTTTTCAAACTTTCAAACCGTTTGTGTGATTACAGGTAGGTATGGAGAGACAGGTAGACCACCTGAGGGTAGGCACCAGTTGAGGCATACCTGGCCCACAGGCCCACAGTTCAGTGTCATACAAGTTATCGAGGGAAATGGCTGCTCCTGATTTAATACCGAACCCATCACTACCACAACCCATACAACATAATGTCCGCTACTGGACTGACTACGTGGTGGCACCGGCAGGTGTGGCCAGACCTACAACGGGAGGCACTAAGTGTATCGCATGTGTTAAATACGAAGTGAATGGAGGTATGGATGCGCTGATGGAGTTGTGGCGTAGAGTGAGGACAGCGACAGAGGACGGCCTACTCGGCTATTATGCGGGCATTTCTAACGATAGAGATGTGTTTGCCGTCCATTACGTGGACACTGATGGCCAGTACAGGGATCACATGGAAAAGATGTTGAGGTTTGGTGGCGTCCAAGTGGTGCAACCGCACCACACGGCTGTGCCCTTCAGGGAACAGGACTATGCGGTCGAGGCATTGGCCACACTATTGGCAGAAGTCATCATTTAAGACAATCATAAGAGTATTACGTAAAAGTATAAAATATTACAATTTTTAATATAAACTGTTTGGCAGATAAGATATCACTGAAACGATTGTCAACTTTTCAATCCTATGTAATGATTATAATAATTATATTATAAATTAAAGTATTTTAAAAATCGATATGATATTGAATGAATTTATATAACGCCAACAAATAAAATACTTATTAATAAATGTAATTATACTAATAAAAGTAATTACAATTAAAATTAATTGGAGATTAAACTAGCTAACTTCTAATTCGAAATATAAATTCAATGTAAAAATAACATCAATTAAATTGTAACAAAACTTTTGATAACTTTGAAAATACAAACGAAATGTTTGTCGTATATATTGTAAGTCCTGTTCCTATGACAGTGATTAAAACTTTTATTCAAATATTACTATTAATAATACAGTATAATTATTATACTATAATATAATCAATAAAAATGTTTATCTCAAAGATTTGTGTGGCACTGAAAGTATCCAATCAGTGAACAGATTAGTGCACAGTATTGGGACAACAGGTTTCAAAAGTGCCAAACATTTTGTCATATTGTGGTCAAACACATGTCCATCAGAATGGCATCCAATTCTATAACGGAGGAATGGATTCGTTGACACTATTGTGGCATAAAGTGAAGAAAGCGACCCGAAGTGGACTTCTTGGCTATTACTGCGGCCGATCTCCTAATCAACAGGTGATTGCTGTCCATTACGCCAAGCATATGAAAGTCATCAATGATATGCTCGTGTATTGGGGAGCACTGAATGTGGCCAATCGAGCCGACACTCCCTTTAATACCGATAGATATCCCATCAAATCATTGACCAAATTGATGGCTAATCTCCAGATTAATAATAATTGAAGTTCTAATTAATCTCAATATTTCTTAATTCAATGTTTTATTATTACTTGATTTACATCTCATAAGGAAATTATTTTGCAAAAATATATGCTTTCATTGATTAGTAGAGTAATAAAAGTACAAAAATATAACAAATTTCAATACAAATAACAAAATAGATTCAAAAACCCAAAATAATGCCACAATTGGTCATAGTTATTGGTATAATTTGTTGAGTTGTCTGCCAATCAGCCACCGCCTGATCTCTTGAGTTCCGGCGCCGATCTCATAGAGTTTGGCGTCTCTGAGTAGTCGTCCGGCGCTGTACTCATTGGAGTAGCCGTTGCCACCCATTATCTGAATGGCATCGAGTGCTAACTGTGTTGCCGTCTCCGACAGACTCAGTATAACTCCGGCGCACTCTTTGGTGAAAGGACTGGCGCTTCCCAACGGAATCCTACCGTTCCGTCGCTTGTATTCATCCACAGCTCTGGCGGTGTTGTAGAGGTAGGCGCGCGAAGAGGACAGTCGTGTATACATGTCTGCCATCTTTGCCTGAAGTATCTGGAAGTGACCGATGGGTTGACCAAACTGTGAGCGCTGGTGGGCGTAACTGAAGGCCACTTCGCACGCGCTCTGCATAATACCGAGCGGTCCGGCCGACAGCACCAGACGCTCGTAGTCGAGGCCACTCATGAGGACGTACACCCCTTTGTCCACCTGTCCCACGAGATTAGCGACGGGAACCTTGCAGTTGTCGAACACGAGCTCACCGGTGGGCGACCCTCTCATCCCGAGTTTGTCGATCGACTGGCCGATACTGAAGCCCTCCATTCCCTTCTCGATAATGAATGGTGTGATCCCTCTGTCGCTGGTCTTCGCGTAGACAAACAGTACGTCCGCTTCCAAGGCGTTAGTTATCCAGAACTTGGATCCGTTCAACACGTAATAGTCTTTATGTCTTTGTGCGACAGTTCTCATGGACACCACATCTGAACCACTGCTCACTTCACTCATAGCCAGAGCGCCGACGTGTGAGCCGTCGATGAGTTTGGGCAGATATTTCTGTTTCTGATCTTCGGAGGCATTGAGTGTCAACTGATTGACACAGAGATTACTGTGCGCTCCGTATGACAGGCCGATGGCAGCACAGCATCGGCTGATCTCCTCCATGACCAGCGAGTGCTCGAAGTATCCCAACTCGAGTCCACCGAACCGGGACTCAGCCGTCACTCCCAACAAACCCATTGAACCCAATTTGGTCCAGAATTTACGGAATTGAGACCAATTGGACTCTCTGTCCATCACTTGCACCGTGTCTTCAGGCAACTCCTTCTCCACAAACTTCCTGACAGTCGACCGCAGATCCATCTGCTCTTCCGTCACACCATTCAGAGCGTCGCCAATGTCTTCGATACTCATATTATCGATCAGTTGTCTCTCATTTGGACGATCACTCAACTGATCCCGTGGTAGACCAGACAGACTGCGACATATGGCCCACGAATTGGTCCCACTTTTGTCACATCTGATCAGAAGTCTTGAGGCAAACGATTTGCCACTATTTGCCACCAAACGAGTGATAAATGCCATGAAATGTGATTAAAGTCTTGGTTTTATTGCAATCAATACTTTGCGATCAAATCAATGAGTGATTAAAATAATCGCAAAAAGTGTTGAGAAATGAGTGAAAAAGTCTTGAAAACAATGTATAAAATTGTATTCAATTCATGTGAAGCCATCTATGGGTCCATTCATACAATGTTTACAAACTTTGCAAAAGTTTTATAAAGTTTTTAAATTTTAGTAGAAATACTGTATTACTACTAAATTAACCTTTTAATATTTGTCACCAAATATCTTATAAATTTAAAATCAGGTTTAATATTGAAATTATTGTCCGGTTTTATAGCCATTCATCAACTCGTGTCTAATCATGTGTTTTAAGAATTGATGGTCACTTCAATGCAAACCTATTTGAATCAAATGACTGGTGAAGTCGTAATCAAAGCAATGAAACAAATCATTTATTCATAATTAACTCAATTTAGAGAATAACACAACAAATAACTTGTAATCAAATAAATCATTTCATAAGAAATATCACTAAATCTATCAAATAATTAACAATTGAATGCAAATGTCTTATTTGAATGAATCCAATGCCGAGTAATAGCTGTCATCATCACTGTCTGGAGGACTATGTGGTGGTGAGGACTGTCCGGTTGTGTCACACGACTGTTGTCCCAACCATTCACTCACTTTAACCACTGATTGCCGATCGCTGACCATTGGATCCAATTTGCGCCGACGTCTTGCCTTCAATTGTTGATCCAATTTGTGTCTAAGAATCTCATTCTCCACCCGAAGACCATTCAGTTTGTCTGTCCTTTTCTGCAGATCCAGTGCTATATGTGTTAAGCGGTCTTCGACTGACACGGCGTCCAATTGGTCGCCATTATCACCAAAAGTCAGAACTTTGGCGCAAAAGTTATTGATTTGTTGTCTGCGGTCATCGATGGATGCCTTGGAGTCTGTGATAATGGAGACACAGTCCTCGACAGAGATGTGCTCATCGATGGGCTTTCCATCGCATAGTTGGGTCACGTGTTTCACAATGGTATGCATTGTCTGCTTATATTTGATGGCATTATCTCTGGATGTAGTGAATGAGGAGTTGGCATAAGTTGTGATGAGTTTGTGTTGAATCCAATGGACAACTTCTTCGGCCTTTTGTGAACACATATTTGGCTCTCAATTGGGATCTAATGAATGGTTTGGTTTACTGTTGGATAAGAGTTACAGAAATGACATTCAAATGACAAGTGGTGTCAACAATGCATTCAATTTGCATGCATTGCGTCAACAGTTATATGAGTGTGAGAGGGGGTGTGAATAGAGGGGGCGATGCAGTGGACATCCAATCGGAATATTAATAAACATTTTGTGACTCATATTTGACATGCGATTCAACTTTTGAAGTGAAAGTTTCAAATGCGATGTATTGTCAGAGTTATAGAAAACATTGCATTCAGTGATCGTATGACTGCGAGTGCTATCATAAGCTGTAAGTCTTGTGTCAGTCGACCACTGCTTTCACAAACACTTTGTGTGCAGTTTTTCATTCAATATACGATTAGTTAGTATTAGTTAATAGTAATTACTATTAAATCCAATTGAGTTGCAGTTAATTAGCGCCGCAATGGACTCCAAACACAAACTATTGGTATTCAATTAACTTTTATTTCATTGATTACACAATTGATAACAATTTCATTGACAGCTGAGTCCAGTCATTGACGACAATACCATTGCTCTCATGAATCACTCGAAGACTGTTTACTTGCGGTTGAAGTTAAGACAAGTCGATGCAAATGGTGTGAAGACTGACGTGCAGTTCAGACACAGTCCTGATGGAGAAGACTATGTGTTCGTCGCTCTCTTCGACGACAATGACATCGACTTCGAGATTCTGTTGGACAACAGATCCACTGATAGGCGAAGAATGGCTTTCACTATGACTTACGGCAAAGACTATGAGTACATCATAAGTCGTGGATTGGCGACACTCAGAGCTGTGCAAACCAATGGCAATCACTTGCGGTTCTTGAGTCCTAATAAACCGATGGCTAATCTGTTGGTGGATCTCGTGGCACAAAAAGCACAGATAAGTCGCGAGAGCTCTGAGTCGCGAGAGCTCTGAGATCCTGTGCTCACGGATTGGGTTCGCCTTCGAGGCCGAGAAGGGAAGACCGAAAGTGGACGACAACCAGAAGATCACTATTAAAGTGTTGACACAGTCTTCAGATGTGGTTATATTACAGATCGATCCCAATGAGACAATTGGTGACATCAAGAATCGGCTCAGAGAACGCTATGGCATTCATTCGGATGCATTCAGACTTATATTTGAATGCAAACACTATGATGACTACGATATTATCAGCGATTGTGGCATTCAAGAGGGATCCATACTTGAGATGTATCAGCAAATGTCTGGTGGTGGAGACCCCCGCACTCTACCGCTGAAGAATGAAGGTATTGGGCAAAGAGGTGCCATTGGTTTCGGTGATCAGACGCGACAACAGTTTGGTCGCAATCGTAAGCAATTCATTGCTGACGAGGAGTTTGAGATCAAGCCGTTTGTCATAGAACTCAGGATTAGAGACAAACAGCCATTTGCTATACGTTTTTAAGGCTTTCTTTCAATTAAACACACTTTCAATTCACTTATAACTATAATAGATCTCAAAACTAACGACAATTCAATATAAATATTGATTAAATAAATATAACTAAACTCTTATATTGCACTTGTTTTGCTTAATTTTTGATTAAATAAAATGTAATTTAAAAATTTATTTTAATATTATCTAAAGTTAAAGAATTTATTATCAAAAATATTTATATACATTGAATGCAACTATCAGTACAACTGATCCGTGACTGGAGGACACGTACAGAAGAGGTGAGTGTCGCCATAGATGTCATCAATGCGTCCAACTGTTGGCCACATCTTAGTCTCCGGTTTTATATAACTCTGTAAAACAAATAAAAAATAAAAATTGAAATAAAGTTTTAAAAACTAAATTAATATGAAATACAGCGGGAAAGGCAGCCATTTCTCGAGTGTAGGGTCGGTTCCAATCGGACGAACAGATCACTCGTTGAGTATGAGGTGCGCACTAAACATGAAGATATTATTCATACATATATTGCTCACAAACACAACAATCAGATCTCACTTTCAATGGATTGACTTTTCTGTCCATAAGTCCGGTCTCGATGTCTCTGATCTCAGACCTGATCCGAATCATGGCGTCACAGAATCGGTCCAACTCTTGCTTGTCCTCAGACTCCGTGGGCTCTATCATCAGAGTGTTGGCCACTGGGAACGAGACGGTGGGCGCGTGGAAGCCGTAGTCCTGCAGTCGTTTGGCGATATCCATGGCCTCAACACCGGCCGTCTTCTTGAAGTCCCTGACATCTAATATGAACTCATGAGCGACCGTTCCGTTCACTCCTCTGTACAACACTTTGTACGCGTCTTTCAGTTTCACAGACATATAATTAGCGTTAAGTATCGCCACTTCAGACGCATGTCGTAATCCCTGTCCACCCATGAGCTTAATGTATGCCCAACTGATTGGCAGTATAGCTGCTGAACCCCAGGGCGCGGCCGACACTGTGCCGAAGCTAATAAAATGTGAAAAACAGTAAAAAAAAGTCTTAAAAAGTTTGTTATTTGAATGACAATGAGTTATATAATGTGAGACCTGAATGGCGTGTCTGTCATCTCGTCCACAACCACCGGATGTGTCGGCAAAAAAGGTGATACTGATTGTGATGAACAAAGGTTACGATTAGAGGTATAATTAAGAGCATAATTTGAATTAGATATCGATATATCATGTATTGAGATGTAATAATACAGTGTTTCTTAACAGCTATGGGTCCCATTCCAGGTCCGCCTCCGCCGTGAGGGATGCAAAAGGTTTTGTGGAGATTGAGATGAGAGACATCACTGCCGTAATCGCCTGTTAATTACAAAAGCAATGGTTTTTTTGCGATTATGGAAATAAGTTGCAGTAATAAAGCAAATATTTAGTGATAAAACGTTTGACGATACTAACCGGGTCTACACAGGCCTACCTGTGCATTCATGTTAGCGCCGTCCAAATAGACTTGTGCCGAACCACATGAGTGTATGAGATCACAGATTTCCATAATAGACTCTTCAAAGACACCGAAAGTGGACGGGTATGTAACCATTAGGCAGGCGATGCGGTCCGAAAACTTCGATAGCTTTCCAATAAAAGAAAAAAAATTAATTAAATATTTTAATTGAGAGAAAAATGGTTTTCCTATAATTGACTGAAAGGTAGTAAAAAAAGTTCAATGACTGAAGGAAACGGAGTGCATATTGAGTACACATTTGCGAAAGACTACCTTCTCTTTGAGGTAATTTATATCAATTTTGCCATCTTTTTGGACGAGTATTGCCTCCACTCTCATGCCTGCCATGTGAGCGCTGGCAGGGTTTGTGCCGTGAGCTGACACTGGGATCAGACAAATCTGTAGATAATTTGGGTTTTATATGAATAAAACAATTAATTAGAATTTATAATTATTTTTTCAGTAAAAAGCATTTTTTCTAAATTTAAGATAAATATTCCTAATAAATATTTAATAAGCCTTACATCCCGGTGCCCTTCATTTTGATACTCCAGGTACGATTTGATGACTCTGAGGCCGGCGTACTCTCCCTGAGCCCCGGAATTGGGCTGAAAGGAGACGTTATCATAACCGGTCAGTTGACACAAATCATTCTCCAACTCATTGATCATCAACTGATAGCCTTTGGTCTGAGAGGGCGGTTGGTATGGATGGAGACTCGCGAAGTGCGGCCACGAGGACGGGATCATCTCTGTCGTGGCGTTCAGTTTCATTGTACACGAGCCCTAACACATCATAAGATAGTTTGTACAGTAATTATCACAACAAAAAATAGTAGCTTTTGAGAGACATACCAATGGTATCATTGAATGAACTAAAGAGATGTCTTTGTTCTCCAACCTCTTCATATACCTCACGAGTTTCATTTCGCTGTGATATGTGTTGAACAGGGGATGAGTGAGAAACTCGGACTTCCGTCCCAATGGTGTCGATTCGATGCCATTTTCCAGCAAATCGTCCTCAAACTTAATTTCTCCAGTTTTTTCGTACTATTTATAAGGTATTAGAGAATAAGAAATACATGAATACATAAGACATGCACTAAAACTTCAAACCTCTTCGTGTGCCCCAAAAATCCAGACCAAGTCCTTTAAGTCCTGATCGGTGACCGTCTCATCCAATGAGACGCCCACATGTTTGCCGTCGGGATAGTATCTCAGATTGATATGTCTGGCCTCGGCTTTGGATCTAATATACTTCTGGTGTTTGACCACCACTTTCAATGTATCGAAAGGCATATAAGTAACCACTCTATTATCCTCGTTCTCAGCTATTTTTCGGGCCAAATATAATGTCTTTTCGTGTATTAGTTTTGCGATATCTTTTAGTCCTTTGGGTCCGTGATATATGGCATACATGGCGCTCATGTTGGCCAGCAATGCCTGAGCCGTACATATGTTGGAAGTGGCCTTATCTCTACGGATATGCTGTTCCCTTGTCTGTAATGCGAGTCTAAGTGCTTGGTTTCCCTGAGCATCTTTGGTGAGCCCCACGACCCTCCCGGGTATGAGTCGGGTTAAGTAGTCACGACAGGCCAGGAAGGCTGCGTGAGGGCCGCCATAATTCAAAGGAATGCCAAACCGTTGTGCAGTACCGATAGCTATATCACATCCAGGTCCATATTCACCCGGAGGTTTAATCATGGTCAACGCTAACAGATCCGTGGCTACGACGACAATACACTCCTTGGCTTTGGACTGCTCCACAATTGACGTCAGATTATCCACATTGCCGTTGGTGTCGGGAAAGTTGACTAAAACACCGCAATACTGCGACAAATCAAACAGATCTCCCAATTTGGTTCGGCCGTCGAAGACATCTTTAGTGCCGTCAAAGGCGTCCACTTGGATGTCGAGGGCATGGGCTCTGGTCTTAACGATGGCCATAGTCTGTGGGTGAGCGTTGTTGGAGACCAGGAATTTGTTCCGCTTTTCTTTGTGATGCCTATCAGTCATACAGTGTTTATAAGGGACAGGTGTTTAGGTAAAAGTGGTTTATAGAGCCCTGTGTCTCACCTAAAGCACATCTGCATCGCCTCCGCGGCAGCCGTTCCCTCATCCAGAAGACTAGCATTGGTTATGTCTAAAGCGGTTAATTCACAGATCATTGTCTGATAATTAAGCAGCGATTCCAGCCTTCCCTGTGCTATCTCTGCCTGATAGGGGGTGTATGGCGTCGTCCAACCTATTTATGCGACAATTTATTTGTTTAAATGTTTTCAAATATTTGGGTTTAGTTTTCAAAAGTGTTTTTAAAACCAAATACTACTCATAATATAGAAAACAATGATTACGACTGCCTTTCAAACCCTTATCTCTAATTAGTTTTCAATATGAAAATGACTTTCAGAAAAAAACTTGTGACTCGTTTCCTCTCATTTATTGATCAGTCATTTGTTGATCCGATGCATTGATATGAAGACTGACCTGGATTTTCAAATATGTTTCGTAATATGGGTGTCGGAGTCACACAATTATAATAACCCATTCCCATGAATGTTCTCCACTTAATGTTATTTAAATCGGCGATTGATTGCAAGCGCTTTAAGATATCTGTTTCACACATTGGATTCGTTAGCTTCAGATCACGAGTCAGACGAATATTCTGTGGTATTGTCGCTGATATTAGTTCCTCGATGTTCTGCGTGAAGTCGGTATGAGATTGACGTGATATTCATGAGTTAGAAATTTATGTCAAAATATGACATCAATTAAGAGAATCGATGGCAACTAGTAATGCAAACCTTGAATCCGAGCGTCTCTAACATGACTTTCTTGTCCGCATCTCGAGGGCCGATATGTCTGCCAATGAAGGCTTCGTTATAATTACGATAAGTCCGGCGCTGATCCACAGACTGCCGGTGCGCTGATAGCACCCGATATAGGGACTGATTTATGGCACGAATTCTGCACTTATTTGTTATTAAACTCATATTTATAGGGATTTATACTAAATATATATTTAAAGTTATACAATATTGGAAACAATAGAAACTTATAAAAGTTAACAACAAAATACTCGCAACGAAAATAGTTTTTGATAATTAAAACATTAGGTAATAATTATCGGTTATATTCACTGCGGTCTGAGTGCTGACGTATTCACAGATTTATTATCACTGAATAAACTTGGAGTAAAAATATATAAAACACTTTTTATTTTCACATTTTAATGTAAAATGAATTACAAATATCTGAAACTGAGATTATAGACAACTCTAATCGACAATATATAAGTGCAATAATAATATACACAACTGTTTATCAGTTGAATATCTCATTCAAGACGACAGTACGTCTCGGATCAGCTAATATTTGAATTCTTCAGCAAATCGTGTCCTTCATTCATATGCTATTCAGTAAAATACCTGACTTTCCCTTTGAATTCATATCACGAATTGATCCCCTCTTTTATCATTGCTTTCATTTCAATTACTCCTTAACTCTAATTTCATTTCTTATGTTTGTATTTATGGGCTATAAGTGAAGGACAGACACAGACAGAGGAAACTGAATTTATGGTATGAGATAATTGAGACAGATATTTAATATCAGTTTATTGACGGACAAATCGTATTATAATTTTTATGTTTATTAAAAGATAATAAATATTTTAATTAAAACTTAGTATTATTTTAATAGTAGCTTGGAAAAATATACATTTAGTAGCATGGTATTTAGTTGTTGTGCTCACTTGAAGGTTAGTATTTATTATTTACTGTTAATTAAGTCTAATATTTATATAAACCAATGCTTAAACTGATCGCAAATATTGAAAGATTAAAAAGTAGATTATATGTACCAAACCATTGGAGATGTTTTTGAAAAATATATTTTTATCGCTTTAACCTAATTTTTCGCAATTATTTGTAAAATATATTTTAATTAGTGTTAAATAATTAAAAATTATATAAATTTTTACCGAAAATCTCAATAATTTTGTATTAAATAGTTCCTATAACTGTGACATTTTTACAGTAATTTCATTAAATGTTTAATAAATTCAATAATTAATTTGATTTCCAAACGGAATATATTCACAAAACTATAAATTATTAATATACATAATTTTGTACTTGATTACATATAATTTAAAATTAAAAAATTAAAATTTGATTTTAAAAAATTCATTGAATTACATAAATAATTAAAATGTGATTTCAAAATACATATAATTTTCTAAATTAAATCCATTTATTCAACAGATAAGACATGAAATTAGAAAAAATAATTAATTAACTATTAATTCATTGATTGTCACTTCAAACTAAAACCGGATCCCTATATAATTAGTTATATAATAAATATTGTATAATCAATAATATCCTAACAGTAATATACAAGTTTAGGTACTGGTACAAGTCTTATCACAGTCATGAAAGTCCTTAAAAGCCGGGACACGGTATGAAAGTATAGTAAAAATTAAACTATTTGTAAAATTTAGCAAAATTACAACGAGATGTCACTATAATTCCCAATAATTTACTGGTTTTTGTAAAATTAAATTCTGTACTAAAACTACCTTTTTTTTAATAGACTGTGAATTTGAAATGTCTTCTTAAATAATTCATTAATTTTTTGTATAAAATAAAATTACAGTAATTGACGGTTAAGGTAGAAAATGCCGTTAATTAAATGTTCAATTTATTTGATATAATAATAATATACAGTATATACAGTTCGTTATATCTTAATCTTATGAAAGTATGATTGAATCAGCCTTTAAGTCAGTGTAACATAAATTGTCAAAATTATATCTCTTTCCGACAAATAAAAATGGTTTTTATAACTACTAGAAGACTATAAAAATGTTAACTCAATATATCGTATATAAGAGGTAACTGTTATATAAGGGGTTTGATAGCTGACTGAACATTAAATTGAGAAAAAGGTATTTTTAATTTAAGATTTAAGCGATATTATGACCGTTATATGTGCAGTACAGTGCTAAACAAGATTGAAGCGATTATTAAAAAATCTATTTTTGATAGAAAAACACTAGAATTTGAACGGAAAAGAAATACTGAATGAGAAGTTCACCGAAAACTTGACATAAAATTATATGAAGGGAGAGGTAGAGGAGAGACACATAAATTCATCACAAGTTTTATTTCTCACCACTTTTTCGTTTAATATTTCTTATTCGTGTCAAAAGATAAGTGAGTTATATATGAAGACCACTAGAGATGATTCGCATCGAGAGAAATGTCTCCAAACGTAGTATCAAATCATACCATCAGTTATTAATAATGATATTATTTCGCAGGGACTCTAAATATTTTATAATTTTTGTCATAAAAAATGTTTTTCTTATCAAATATATAAATAACATTTGAATTATAAATAGTAGTTTTTAGTTAGTCGAGAATATAATGTAAAATAAAATAAAAACCCCTTTTTAAGAAATATATTTGCATTACTAGTGTTTTGAAATATAAATTAAATATCATTTATAACTTATGTTAATATTGAATGTACTGTAACTGTAGTTTTTGATTGAATTA